CGTGCCTCATTTTCGGGCTGTGCACATCCTGTTTTTGGGCCACTCCAGGTGGCGATAGGTGGCGATCTTTGCCGTCTGGAACGGCTGAAAACAGGACACCCGGAGGCTGAAAATAGGGCAAGAGGAGGTGGCTGCAATGGGCAGCAGCGATCCTCGCAGCCTGGAACAGCTGATCAATGGTATTCCGGGAGGTCGATTCAACCGCAAATCAGCTGATCGTGCTAAATCAGGCTGTACTGAAGTGGACCAGGCTGGTTGTTGTTTGTTACAAGGAGGCAAATTGTTAGGAGGCAGAGGCAGATTTTTTTTCTTGTTTTCCTCCCCAAAAGCTAGATGCGTCTTATGGCCTGGAGCGTCTTATGGTGCCAAAAAATATGGTATGTTATACATGTATATAACTTTCTGATAAAGCATTTGGTTAATCTGTTGCATGAATCTAACAAATAGAATAGACACTGAATCTTTAATGCAATTAAAGAATAATAATGCATCAGCATTTGTGGACCTGATTTCATTTCAGCAAAATCTCACTCTGTAGGAATTAACAAGTGATGTGTTAACCAGTCCTAAGATTTTTTTTAAATAAAACCTAAAATGGTATACAAATAACTTTTTCTAGGGTTTATAGAATTGTGGGGATAGTTGGATTAGCTCTCCTCCATCCTAAAGTTCTCCATATGGGTTGGGAGTTATAGTCTGGAAGGTATCATTGAAAAAGCCATTACTGTACACAGCAAAACTATAGATTGCTGTTTCTTGACTGTTTGATAGGAAATATGGACTTCATGAGATATCTGTTTAAGAAATAGAGAATATTATATTATATAATTATGCTACATCATATCAGCATGGTTGTCTATCTTATCCAATCAAACAATTATATATGGCTGTCCATTCACCAAGTGATGCTGGCGGCTGACAATTTAAAACATCAAAAAAAACTATATCCAAAATAAAAAAGTGGCAAAGAAATGAATATAGCACTGGAAACAATCATTCACATAACCCAACTAACATGAATTGATGACTCATTTTACAGCCTCAATGCTTGAGGAAAGAGCCAAATCTTCAGAGCCTTTATAAAGGCCAGCAGAGTTGGGACCATCTAAATCTCAAGGGGAATCCTATTTTATAGGGTGATATGTGGCAACACTGAAGTAGAATATATACATAACTACGCATGCTGCTATCTGCTGAACCATCTGTAGCTTCTGACTTTCAACCACACTCCTATGTATAGTCCTATGTAATATTTGTATATTACAAATGCAGGAGTGACTTTGAGCAGGGACTCCTGATTCAGGATCAGGCACAGAAGATTTATGCAAAGGCTCTCCTAGCCCAGGTAAGAGCCATAAACACAAGAGGACCCACAAATTGCAAACTATTTCCAGCCGGGTAGTCCAATCCTACTCAGAACTAAACATGAAAGATCTCCAGCTTCAGGTAATCTCAGTATCCACAGGCACTCTGTCTTGCTAAGATTGTGCTTCAGTCTATTTCCATTCAGAATCCCACAATTGAGTATATATAACTTCGGCATGTTGCCATTGGATGACCTGTGACTTCATATAAATAATAAATAGAGAGGAGAGCATTGAGTCCTACAGCACGTTTCCAAGTAAAACCTTAAAACCAGACCTCCCTGCCCCATAACCAATACTGACTGTAACCAATCCTAAAGGAAATGTGAAAATACTATGCCTGCCATTCCCAGCCTTCTGAGTCAGTTCAGAAGAATACCAGGATTGATTCTTTAGAAAGCTATCAAGAGATAAGAAAGGTCCAGGATGGACAGACCGTACCCCTCTCATCCCATTTCGGTCATAATCATAAAGAATAAAGTCATCAACAATGAATGTGTACTGTGTATTCTACTGAGGCCTGAAACTTGATGAGAACTCACATAATCCATTTTCTTCAAGGCCCTCTGAAGCTACAGCTTGAGTACAAAGAAACAAAAGAAGGAGATTGGAAACGGAACAAAACTTGGGATGCTCCATTACTAGCTCTACCATGGCATCTAGTAGCTGGTATAGCAGCATTCTTTAATCAGTTTCCTAGAGGCCAGCTTCACAAACTGGGTTCACATCCAGCTACTTTTAGAGTAGCCCCTCTGAAACAATAGCCACTTTACCATCACTACTTTAGGATTCTAGTTGGTGCCACATTTGATACAAAGGTGGGCACATCTCCAAAAGGCTACATATCCCTCAGTGCTATCTGTGTTCTGATTATACTTGCCAGGTCAGTCCTCTCATCTTTGATCTTGAATGTGAAGAGACTTATTACAGGCTAACTTACAGAGCACCCGATTAGCATTGTGATTTAAGAGGTGGGCTTAGAAATCAAAAGATTGTGAATTCTAGGCCTCCCTTGATGTGAAAGCTAACTGGGTAACTTTGGACTAGTCACTCTCAGTTCAAAACATCTCACAGGATTGTTGATGTGAGGAAAATAGGAGGCACAAGAATTACAATTACAAGAAAAAGTATGTGAACCCCTTGGGATTACATGGAGTTTTGCATGAATTGGTCATAAAATGTGCTCTGAAC